AGCAGCCAAGGACCATGGAATTCCAAGACCTACGCTGATCCGCTATCTGAAAACTGCAGAAGTACTGGGCCAGGAGGTGAAGCAAATCGGCTCATTCAAAACAGTTTTCATACCTGCCGAGGAAGCTGTTTTAATGGCCCACATTTTGGACTTTGAGGTTCGATGCTACGGAATTACCACCCGCGACATCCGGAGCCTTGTCTTCCAGCTGGCCGAACGCAACGGGAAAGCACATGTTTTCAATACGAAGACACAGCTGGCTGGTTGAGGATTGGCTTCACGGTTTTCGGAAGCGTCATCCCAAACTCTCGCTCCGTACTCCTGAGGCTACCTCAGCTGCAAGGTTGCAAGCATTCAACAAGATAGCGGTCGACAACTTCTTCGATGTGCTGCATCGTGAAATGGACGGAGGCAAATTCAGTATCAGCAGGATTTTCAACGTTGATGAAACCTCTGTGCTCACCGTAAGTTGTACACATTTTCAAATAAAATGCATGTTTTGACTCATTTTGTATTCTGTGCTCCACCAGACACGGTATTTGTCTGCAACTCTTCCGGTTGGATGACTGTGAAAGAATTCCACACCTGGTTCGAGCATTTTCTATAGCACACGCGTCCAACAGCTGATAACCCGGTTCTTTTGATTTTGGACGGTCATTCTTCGCATACGAAGAACCTTGGCTTTATTGAAAGAGCGCGTGAGTGCCATGTGACAGTCGTGTGCTTGCCCCCCATTGCAGCCACAAACTACAGCCTCCCGACATAAGCTACATGGGGCCGCTCAAGACGGCTTTCTCGAAGGAAGTGGAGAGTTTCCTCAAATGCAATCCTGGTAGGGTTGTCACCCTGAACGAAATCAGCCGGCTTTCATGAATACTTCTAAGGCAGTTATTTTTCCGCTGAACCGGTTTATCTTTAACGATAATGATTTTACCCGGCTTACGTAACGGACGTTCTTTCAACAGACCAGAAACCGATCGTTCAAACAATGAACTTGGTGACGAAGCTCTTGAATCCAACGCAGCCGATACTGAAGCAGGACCTTCGCGAATGCACAATGAGGTAGGATATATCAACGATTCACTGTCAAACGAAAAGGAAAATATCGCTCCAAAAGGGATTGTAAAAGTGGATGCTAACAACATGCTGACTCCGAAAGCTACTTTGGCGCCGTTGGATTCGAATGTTCCAGCCGGTTTGTCTGTCCGAAGCATCTTCAACCGCTACCGAAAACAGTTACCAGAAAAGATGGCGGTGGACGAAAGAGGGAGAAAGCTCGAAACATAACGTCAAGCCCCAGCCGAAATGAGTTGAAGTCATCGCAGGCATTGAAGGATATTGATCAGCTAAAGAAGGTGATCAAAGCTGTAACAAGACACATTTCTAACAGTGATGCCGAAACACCCAAACGCAAACGAGGACGTCCGAAAGGAAAGAGCAATCAAACTAAAACGGTGCTTGCTCAAGATACGCTCTGCGAAGTATGTGGCTGTTGTTTCAGTTCTTCTGACAAAGGACAGGATTGGATCAAATGTTCCAAGTGCTGCTTGTGGTTCCATGAATGCCAGGACTCTCGCTGCCCTTCGTGTGCCTTTCAATAAGGCATCAATTTGTAGCTAATCTTCATTCTGTGATTGTTCATGAATTGGTTTTATTTTCTTTATTTCGGTACCATCACCAGAGGTGTGTTCGCCAATGAAATTGAATTGAATTAAATAAAAATATGTTACTGTTTTGGTTGAAATCTGATTAGTTTTACTTAAAAACTTACTAAACTGACCCCAGTGTCAATCATAGTTTCAATAATGGTTTTAAAATCGGGCTCTCATCATGTCAACCAATTGCCGTGATTCAATAACTACTTACTTTCCAGGGCACTTTTCGGTATGTAAGCACCTCTCGTTAAGGTAGTTAATCATAAGCATTTTCCATTAGACCCCCTATACAAATTGAACTTATTCTACATACTCTTTTGGAGTTGCTTATTGACCTATACGAAATAAAGCTTAAGAAATGTCTCCCGTATGTTCTCGTTTTTCTATGTATGTATGTGTGTGTATGTGTGTGTGTGTGATACCCCGGACAGACTATGGCTTATATCATGTAATATAGGCTGGCTTGCAATGAGCACTCATACATCTAGTTTTCACTGGAAATCCCATATATGAGTGCTCATTGCAAGCCAGCCTATATTACATGATATAAACCATAGTCTGTCCGGGGTATGAGGGTTGTATGTATGTGGGAGGGATGGGGACATGTTCGCATAGGTATGTGCATATGTTAAAGAGTCAATTTCTGAGTCTAATCCAGTTTTTAGCAAGGTGTCCATTATGCCCCATAGGGGTGTTCATTTCGCCCCGTACCCCATCCACCAACCCGGTTTACAAAGGACTTCAAATTGTTTTTACAGACTTAAATTCACTATTTTATTGCTGAAAACGATTGGAGTGTATAGTATATGGATATTATTTGAGGTTTGACTATTTATCACCGACAATTACGGGTATTTTACACTCATAAAATGTATTTTCCCTTAAGGTTTTCATGCCCCTAATTCCCCTAATTTCATTTTTTTGTTAATAATTTTGATTTTTTTTGTAAAAAAAATTATATTTTTCAACAGTGTATACTTTTTCTTTTAAGGTACAATACTTGTCCGCAATTTCTTCAAAGACACCATATCGATCAAACAAATTGTTCACGAGATATATATTTTTCTATTGATGCGTATCATTTTTGCATAAGCCCTTTTCAAGTGTTAGCCGTGTGCAAAACTAAGGAACCATATATGTAAAATGGCATGTTGGGCAATAACAAACAACTGTGGAAAGTTTTATCATAATCGTAGAAGGTTGATCCGAAACGATTTGCAGATCTGTGTGAACTGCTCTCATCAGAATTCATTTTCATTCCTCCTCACATAGGGGAAATGTCTCTAATGTTGGCCTATGGATCTAAGATTGGGCCCATCGCTAAAAATCTGCTATTTATCAATTTTATCTAGATGAACGCGTTATTGGGACGTTACTAATATATAATTTTGGTTACTTTTGAAAATTTAGTCGATTGCTGAATTTATGTATGGGCCCAAATTAGGGACACTTAGGCCGACATTACCTGCATTTCCTCTATTCCTTAGATTTCTCCACTTAATTTGTTTGGCAATCTCTCCTGGAATTGTTTTTTAATTTCTTTGAAGATCTCCTGGAGTTATTCTCAGATTTATTTGTAATCCTCTTTTTAGGATCCCCTTCACCTCCTAAGTATTCACAAAAAAATTACAAGGACTTATGCTCCGATTTCAAATGTGTGAATGAAAATATCTAGGAATATTGAATGTTTTTATTTTAAAATACATTCTTCATTAATACCATAATTAAAAAAAAAACTATTAAATTTCCTCAGTAATGATAAGATTCCCTGAGACTTCCAGTTATTTTTAAGAGAAATAAAATTCCCTGAGAATTCTCGGTTTTTCAGGTTTTTCCAGGCAGTAGACACTGAGAAGTTTAGTCATAAACTTTCTTTTAAATCTTTCGTTTTAAAGGTTCCTATCGTAAAACAAGAAAACAAGATCGACGGAAAACAAATCAAGGAAAAGAAAAATGATCCTCGATTTTCACAAGTTGTTTCACAAGTATTCATGATATTCTATTAAAATTTGAGCTTTTTTGATGAAGGTATTCTGATATATCTTGGTATTTTTAAAGATAATTAGATAACTCCATGAGCTTCGGTAGAACTTCCCTGAATTTCGGCAGAACTTCGCTGAACTTCAGCAGGAGTTCCTTGAACTTTGACAGGCCTTCCCTGAACTACGGCAGGACTTTCCTGAGGTTTGACTGGCCTTCCCTGAACTTTGGCATGAGTTCCCTGAGTTTCATCAGGACTTCCATGATTTCCAAGAATTGAAATTAAAGGACTTTCCTGAACTTCAGCAGCCCTTCCCTGAACTTCGGCAGAACTTCTCTGAACTTCGGCAGGACTTCGCTTAACTTCAGCAGGAGTTCCCTGAACTTTGGCAAGACTTCCCTGAACTTCGGCAGGAGTTCTCTGAACTTCGGCAGGAGTTCTCTGAACTTCGGCAGGAAATTTCTTTTATATGGCTTTCTCAATCTAGCGTAATCCAAGCAGTCAGTTTGGATTACCCTAGACTGAGAAAGCCATATAAAAGAAATCTCCATACGTACCAGTCGAAAAATCTAGTAAATCAATTCGGCAGGATTTCCCTGAATATTGGTAGGACTTCCCTGAAGTTCGGCAAAACTTCCCTCAAGTTCAACAGAACTTCCCTGAACTTCGGAAGAACTTTTGGCAGGGCTTCCCTGAACTTCATCAGGACTTCGCTGAAGTTCGGCAGATCTTTCCTGAACTACGGAAAGACTTCTCTGAGCATAAGCAGGACTTCCCTGAACTTGAAATCTTTGAATTGAAATGACAGTAGTAGAATAATTATAATTATACAATAATATTGTGCATTTTGAATTTGGGTGTGGTTCGAACGGGAGTGAATTCAGTATCAACGGAAGGGCCTTAACTTTCACCTTAAGTGTTTATGAGATTATAATTGAATAAGTCTAAAACATCAAACATTTTTTTTGGTATGCTATCAGAACTACTAATTTTTTCCTCTAGGTCACTTTTTAGTCACTTTTTTACAACTATAAGTCACTATTTGGTCACTTATTTCTTCAACATGTTCACTAAAATTACTATTTTTGACAGCATTGATAGCTATCAGCCCTGTTAATGTCAGCCAATGTTTGCGAGACGTAATTAATGGATGCTCCCGTACTTTCCATGACAAATATGAAAAATGTCAACCGCTGGAAGAGATGAATGAAAGACCACAATATTCCTGGGTTCATCCCGTCGTTTCGCAAACCCTACATCCATCCCAGAACTGTTGTAAAAACTATAGCAGCTCCCGAGAGAACCGCAACCCGAACCAGCTCAACAAAGCCGAAGAAAAAAAAACAATGCTACAACACACTTACATGTCCTTCACGCACCGAGCTGACGTCAGTGCGAAATCCTGTGCCACTAACGTACAGCCACAGATCCAATCAACATTTTCGCCTTCCTTCCCGACGGCACACTGTTCAACACCATCGAATCGTCGTCGTCGTCGCACACCAGAAATATTACAACAAGTGCACATGCGGAGGATATGGGAAAGACGAGAAACAGGTGAAAATTTATCCACTCCAAGCAAGTCGAGCTTGAGAAAGCTAATCGTAATCTCGTGAGATCCGAGGGGGTGGGGGTGGAACTGCAACTTACCTTGAATTCTTTGAAGATCTGCAGCTGAGCGTTAGTCGGGATAGCCGATATCGATTCCTTTTTACCAGTCAGGTGTGGGTGATTGTAAGAGCTCTGGGAATTTAAGGCGGGTGGGCAATGAAGAATCTGATTTTATGGGGACAATCTTGTCGTAACATACCTTAACTGCAGCAGGAACTATGGACTCGTCCCATTCACGGTGGGAGATGTGTCTTGTGACACACTCTTGTGGGAAGTAATTCCTCTTGGTTACAAGTTCGATCCAATTAATGTAATGAGCCAGCTTTGCATACACTCCCGGAGTGTTTTGTCCACATGGAATGCCCAGCACGGAGATTCCTATCACAAATGGGGTGTACTTAGAACTGGATAACAAACGAACCTGCAGTGGTCCTCCTGTATCTCCGGGACACTCCGTCAGAACTTCATCCCCAGCACACATCAACATCCGGTTGATTCCTTTACGGAAGGCTTCCCTGTTGGTGCGATACCAAAACTTGCAGCGATCATGATCGATTGGATTTAGCGGTGTGTTGTGGATCGGTGGAGAGACGTCAGTATCTTTAATGGAGATCAGTTTTTGGTCGGAAATGGAAAATTATGATGTTGCATGTACTCACAGAAGTCCCAGCCGCTGGCATATAGCTTCGTAAACGAAGACGAATCATTGGTGTACAAACAAGCCGGCGTTACAAAATCGGTCACGCTGCAAAAAATGGCAAAACATAAACAGAGAGCTCACAGAATATAAATGGGAGAGAGAAAAAAAATGTAAACAAAGAGAGTGAGAGTGTTAGCAGCAACCGCATGCGATCATGCTGATGATATTTTGTAACCAAAAGACAACCTACGTCACCGGTTTTGCAAGTTTGATCAGCGCCACATCGTGATAGGCGCTGTTGAAATTGAACTCGGGATGACGGATGATTTCCTTAATGTCCAGCTGTTGCGCAAAGCGATCGTCTTTGGGGCTGTACAAATCTAGGTCACCGACGCGAATCGTCGTCGGTTCTTTCCTATTGAATAGTGATAATAGTAAGATAGTTGAATTCAAACATACATTGGATCATCTGCAGTTATAATACTCTTCATCTTGGGTGCAATGAGCGGCGGTCAGTACGAAATCCTCCGCGATCAATGTTCCGGAACATCTCCACTCAACATCACCGCTGGTTTGCTTCCATCCAATCGCCGCCAAGTGAGCGAATTCTCTAGAATACGCTGGATATTCAACAGAAGGGGTCGAAGCTTCCCGATCCGAAAGCTTCTGCAGTCTCAAAGAACAATCTAAAATATGAAACCATTTTCAACAACCCGATCGTGCCCTCCGATCAAAACACTAAAACTTACCATCTAACGAACCCGAATCGGGAAGCGTGTGCACACTAAGCTCTGAAACAAGAAACCGAAACCTGCCCGTTAGCACAACTATTCAACCTTGAAACAACACTTGCAACCGTGATCACATAACAACAATCTTCAACTCGCAACCACGTAGCATCCCACCTTCAATCGATTTGTGAAACGCCAAGGCCTGATCAGCTGACGCGGCCACCACGGCCAGGAACGTCACCACCGTCGCCAACGGGAATCGTCTTCCGGCAACGACGACGACGACAACGCTCCACAGTATCACTCCGATTCCGAACATTGCGCGAACCGAACTAAACTGTTGTTTGTGTGTTGAAGTCTCTGCAGCGAGAAGCAAGCGACGAACCCGATCATAATAGCATTTTGGCTTCTTGCAGGCATGCATACGTAGCTGCTGTTGGATGGCTGGTTGGTAGGTATATGAGTGCGTGCCTATTTTCTGTGTTTCTTCGGTTCGGGCGTGAGCACGTGTGTTACATAAGCCGAAATCGAACATCGATGCCGACGATTCCACCCGGTCGGTCGGTCGGTCGATCGCGGTCTTGGGCGTCTAAAAAGTGGCCAATGTGATCGATGAATTGGAAGTGAGTGAGCGACATCCAACTTGTACTTTCACTTCCAGGTTCGAGTGACTCATTATTTTAGGTGTGTGCGGGACTGCGAGCGATCGAAACGACCGTCGGCATGCCGGTTGTCGTGTGTTACGGTGCGTGTTTAGCCATGCCAAGCTCGATAGCGGTGATCGATGTGAGTGGGTGTGAATGCTTATAACGGTTGATTGGTCGTAAAGGCGACATGTGGACCGATGGAATCAACTAGCTCGGAGACAGGTTGAGATGATCAAATCAGATGTTGAACGACGTTGCAACGGGTGTCGCATGACACAATGGAGTGATGCATTTGTATTTTGTTGTGCATCGTTTGCATTTTATACCAGTTAAAGTTGTTCAGAAGGTCACAATGGTTTTTATAAAATATTTTTCTGTTTAACATTGAGTTACGCACAGAGGGCCAACAGTCGGTGCCTTCGGGATTTTCTGAGGCACAAAATCGCTGATCAAGCCTTCCTTTGGAAGGAAAGTAAAACCGCTGATCCCCGATCCATGAATTGATGGGTCGATAGGTAGGGTCCAGGTGTGGGAGTTGCCTTCCTGGTGTCGGTAGCATTGGTAATCAGTACGGAAAATAACGATCGAAGGAAAAAAAAATCAAGGAAAAAAACAGAGGGCCAGGTCTTATTAAAGTGGGTCTTGACGTAGGACTACGTCTGTGATTTATATATGGAGGTGCACTTTGTGAAACCAAAAATGAAACATGTAACGAAATTATGAAAGATTTTAAACGTGAATAACTCAGCTGCCCCTGGACCAATTTAAATATTTTTTTCACCAATTGATCAAAAATATTTCAACGCATTGATAGCAATGTTGATTTTCAACAAGAAACTATTGAAAAAGTGGTAAATGTTAAGCATTGTCCAAAAGTGTCGAAATAACTAACAAATCCACCAATTACGTACATGCATATGCTGCTTCCCCAACACAGTCATCAGAGAGACGTTAGTAGACGAAACAAGTCGAAGTGACATTCCCCTCCGATCTTCGGGCGTGTGCAAGTAGGGAGGATGTAATCGCGTAATATTTTGCACACTCATCGCCATATTCAGAGCCCCCCTCCCCCCAACGACCACACAAAACGCTCTGCAGAGTTGTAATCTTGTAACCAAACTTGGAAGCAGGGGTGCAAGTGATTTTGATCAATTCTCTTCATCGACTTTCTGTTTGAAGAGAAATGGCTTTCATCCCCTCTCTGTTACTATGCCCCTTAATTCAGTCGTCGTCATAGCAATGAAAACTAGCAATGCACTGATTTTGGCTCTTGGGTTACACTTACTGGTTGCAATTCTGCTGTTCGACATTTTTGAACATGAAATTACACTATTTGCTAGGGATGCCTAAAGGTCCAATTATTGGATGAATGATTAATCGTAAAAAAAAATTCCAGCTTTTCGATTAAATATTTATCGAAGTTTCAATTATTCGAGCGCGTAACCGACATCCCTCCTTATTTCTACTCGTTTGATTTAACGCAGTAGAGAAAATAAATAAGAGTACTAATTTATCTGAGCAGGCATAGAAAAGAACCATAACGCGAAACAGGATCATAAATTCACCGAAAAAAGTGTTATGCGTCATTCTTCTAAAGGCTAAGATTTACCAACTTGTTGAGAGAAGGAGTTTAACGATAAAAACATAAAAGGGGAGCTGCTTTTGCTGGGTGGACACTAGTGTTGGGAAAATATCAAACAATCAAATCTCACAAACGCCCAAATTCACGATTGATTATCATAGACATAAATCATCAAGCAAACAACTGCGGTTGATTTTGAAAGCTATGATATCGCAGCTCGGAATATCAAGCTAACAAAACTCACCAGCTTCAAATTTCAACAAACTGTGGTGAGATTGAGTTTCATGATTTTTGCTTTACATCCGAATGCAACCGAAACTTTCATAACGGCTGGCAGCAGTCACTTCGTGTCTGCCATCGGTGAAGAGTAAAAAGAGATAGCCAACTATACTTTCTCTTTCTAAGAAAACGATGTGCAACGGAATCATTTTTGTGTCGAGTCAACTCTCAGCTTGATTCTTGCATGTTGTGAATAACGGGTGGCAACTAAAATTTTGGAATTTCTTTCTCAAGCTGTCAAAAAAAGACAAACATACTTGAAGAAGATCTGATTTATTGAAATTAAAGATACATTGTCCATTGTTGAAAAAAAAATTAGTGAACATTTGAAAACGGTCCGTAATCGGATGTTCGGCGAAGCTTCCGTTTGATGTCGGAACAGGAGCGTTGTACGGCCTTCATGTCAACTTTGCGAATGCATCTCTTGATTCTACCAATCAACTGTTTGCAATTCATGGCTCTCCAGTTATTTTTGTACATCAAGGAGCTCAAAACCCCGAAGAAATCTTCGATTGGGTGACACTGAGGCAGATTTGTCGGGTTGTGGTTTTTGGGTACAAATGGGATCGAATGGGTATTCAGGAACGATTGTGTTTTTTTGACGTAATGCGATGACGCTTTATCCGGCCAAAACACGTATTGTCCATCAGCATGATGTTTTTGTAGAAACGGGATCAAAATTTTCTTCAAACATTCGTTCTGGTACACATATTGATTGATTGCCAAACCAGAGGGCTTGAACCATGGCTTAGAAATGCCTTTCTCGGAAATTTTTGCGTCCATAATTTTGGCTGGTCTTCCACTACCTTGCTTGCGAGCAGTTGTTGGGGATCTTAGGATATGGTAAACAGTCGAAGCCGCAACATTTTCGCTTTTGAAATGTTGTACCGTATACTTTTTGCCGAGATTTATGTGCAGTTCGTAGAACTGTACAACGTGCTCGCGAAATACTTCTTGTTTCGACGGCATTTTGAGCAAAACTGAGCAAGCATAAACAAAACAGAAAATACTAGCAGAAAGAGGAGAGAGAGAGCTAACACATACATACTCTTATTTCTCTCTGAGCTCGTTTGTTGTTGAGCATAGAGGCCTCGAAAAAATTCCAAAATTTTAGTTGCCACCCGTTATTCTCGCAATATCAAAGGAGCTTGTAAAATCAATATCAAGCATGATATTTGGTTCCAATATCACGCGTGATATTGCGAGCACATGAGAGCGGAAAAATATCAATTGATTTCTGATTTTGCCAACACTGGTGGACACTGATATTCTGTGGCCTTCCAAACTGTCGCAGACACCAGTTTAACCCCTGTCCAGCAGCAGACGGGCCGACACTCTTGCGAGTGCCCACTAATTGAACCGAACAATATGGGGTTGTCCGGTCCGATTTGCTGATCCAGCTGCCTACACGTCATCATAACCTTCCAAAGACTTTATGCCTGTACCATCATCAGGGCCACCAAGATTATCCAAAAGAGTTAAATTTCTGAACATGTCCCAACAAAAAGTCAGGTCAATCATAGTCATACTAAAGAGTATAAAACGTTAACTGAGAGAACCCCGCTCAAATTAATGTTCCTACACAAAACACAAGCTCCTGCTGTAGTTAACAAAAAACATTTATTAGATATGACCACGTAGTCCTACGTCACCATTGCGTACAACCTCATAGGGCTGTCCCTTGTAGTTTTTTTTTTAAAATAAAGCCTTATGTGCATTTCAATTCTTATATTTTCTAAATTATACTGATGCTAGGTAACTACGGCAGCAGCATTTGTCCTTGACCTTGAATTTGTTTCTGTGTCTTAAATCTTCAAAATTTGTGTGTGTGTTTATTTACCTTGTTTAGAACTCTTTGCAGAATTTCTTTGAAATGCTCTGAAAAAAAAATCCATTTCCATTTACAGAGATCTTTTAATAATTCTTCAAATAAATTAGAAATTACCTTGAAATTTACATTAATCGACTTTATTTTATTCAAAATAGTCCGCTTTGGACTCAACACAACGACTTGCACGTTCTAGGAGCGTATCAAACGAGCGTCGACCGTGCAACAAGTGCCAACTTCCTTCTTCGCGGTATGCGGGCCGAATACGCCAAATACAATGCATCAAACACTTCCAAACATCAAGGTAGAATACAGCCATTCGGTCAGTTGGACGAACTCTTTATGAATAATCCCCTTCGAATCGTAGAAACAACGTATACCACTCTTGGACTCTACTTCGGGATAAAAAATCATCACCATAAACTTGTTTCACCATTTGAAACGTTTCGGTTAAGTTTTTACCAAGTTTAAAACTTAATATTGGCTCTCTGTTCGATTGACATTTTTGTACCGACATTGTAAACAGACTGTAATTTGAGGCGCAAAAATTTGGCTTCTATTCATCCAGCTGTCATGAAGTTTTGACAGGATGTCAATAAAAGATGTACATTCCCAACGCTTGTCCTCGTCAAAAGATGGCGCAACCAGGAGCTGACATATTTGTAAACTTTGGGACACACCTTGTATAACCTTCAACTTTGCTTATTTCAATTCAGATCTCTCTCCCTTTACCATAATCACCAGCCACATTTGTCACGAAAATTAACCACAACTGGCACGCACGTTTTAGTCTTAGCACTTTTTGAGTCCTAGTGATGCGTCTAAGCTCTGATATTGAACGAATTGTCCAAGCATGGTTCCTTTGTACCTCTTTAATGATGAGAAAAATAATGTTTCTTGCTTCCGAAGAGATTTTAGTTTCTAATCGATAGCACACGATTTCTATTTCTTATAGCTATAGTTATTTCTTTTCATTATTTTGC